CTCATTATTTTTCAAACACCCAGTGAGACCATCACTATGGACGATAAATACTGACTTCTTTCAAAAACCGTTACAGAGGGCGCGCGTGCTAAAAACCGTTAGTTATACATCATTACATAATAACCATGTTTATAGTCAGATTTTACATGTACACTAAGGTACGAACTTGACCACCAAAAACAACAACAACAAAACTAGTATCGTCTATTGAAAAGGAAACATTTTCATTCTTAGTAAATCTTAGTAACAAAATTTACCAATCACAAAAAAAAACACTTGTAACAAAACCTTTCGTAATAATATGACGGTAACTTGGATTCCGAAACGAAATGTTTTTCGTAACAAAAAGTCCATGTCACAAGTTGTCCGTAACGAAATGTCCCAGATTCGGCATTAACAGAGTTTGCAAGCTATTTGAATAGCATAAAACCTTCTATACAATTTACATATGAAATTGAGAAAAATATTAGTTTGCTGTTTTAAGATCTATTGGTAAAAAGGAATAAAGAAAGGAATTTAGAAACATCTATTTATCGGAAACCATTTTCAGTTCTTATGGCTTCACAAAAGGAATCATGTCACACTGAAGCACAACAAAATGTCTGCATTTTACAAGAAACGTACAAAACAAGAGGACTTAAAAATTAGTTGTTACTAATGCAATACATAACAGTTTAAAGAGGATTTAACACAATTATTGTACATAGAGCAGTTAAAAAATGCACTAATGTGGTAATAATGGATGAAGTTATTTCCTTAAAATCGAGTTATGGTAAAATTATAAAGAATGTTTTGTGTTGCCATATGTTCTAGGTTTAGCTTCTAGTTTATTCAAAGTATTTAAAAAACAACAGATATTTTACTCTATATTTAAACCTATGAATATGACAAAACAAAGTTTAAGTAATACTAAAGATACTATACAGTTAATACAAAAAAGCTGAATTTATAAAATTAAATGTCAATGTTGAAGTGTTTATACTGGACAGACAAAACGTAAGGAATGTGTGAACATAAAAGGACTGAGCATTCAGCCATAGCAGAACATGTACAAAAAAAATACAAAGTAAGATATTATGGGAAAAAACAGTAATATTGGCCCAACCAAAAGAGATTAGAGTAAAAAATATCCGCGAATCTTTAGAAATAATACAGTTTAAAAAATATCATGAGTTATTAAATAGAAACGAAGATCCGGCGAATATTTGTGTAAGAATATGGCGGGGCCTCCTCTGAGATTTATGCAGAAATGTAAACTTACACACAGGTCACATGACCTAGTTAAGAAGAAAGGAATAATACTTATTTTGTACAAGTTCACTCCTGATAATGAAGTGGTAAACATCGAAACATGTAGAGTCCACGTTATAGATGACATAGATTGGCCCGAATTAAAAATTGTTTTCATTTGTGTCGATTTTAACGTTGTATATTATTTATTTACTGTGTTTCCTTTTGTGATATTCCAATCAGAAGATCAGGAATGCTAATGGTTTGAATCCTCAAGAGGCCGAAAGCCGTTACGGATTGTTCTGTTCCAAATTAACCACTGGAAGTCATTTAAAGCAGTTATTCTTATTTGAATAGCTTTTGAAATACTATACTTTCATCTTACTAAATAAATAATTTAATGAATGTTCTTAAATTTTATATTTTTTATTTTACAAGTTTTAATGCCTCAATACCTTAGACTTAGACAGGTGAGTTTTCATACTCATCGAAAGCTCACTAAGTTATTTATTTAATAATTTTATCCTAAATTATAAGTCTGAAAGACTATTTACTTTCATCTCACTTAATGTTCTTGTTACTTTGTTCTGCAGACAAACGTCAAATCTTCTGCGTCACAGTTTTCAAACATCATCCACAGCCAGATCACTTGCGATAATCTTTTTCGTTTGGGATCTAGTTAAATGTTATCTAGCCTATAACTCCATTTATTCAAAGTTAACAAGCTCGTTATATTCTTAGGGGGAGATTAATGTGGATGAAGTATTAGAAATGCCTTCGAGGCACACTAGGGCTCAATTAGCGCCGATGTAATGTCGTTTTTGTTTTATTTCTCGTGAACGCTAAAAAAAGTGGCATATCGACTGAACAAACACCCCCGAGATCATTGATGCCTGTGAAACAACTCTTAACAGAAGAAATGTTTTAGTAATTTGTTTTTATTTTAAATATACATGATGTATTAAGGTAATCTTAGCATTAAATAACACATAAGATGTGAAATTACAATTTACAAAATATTTTTTATAATCCTTTAATTCGTATTGAAGTTGGGTGATTTATATCGTATCAGTATAATGCTGTTCATAATGTGTTAATATATTCCATAGAGAAATAAGTTTACTGTGCACTATTTATACCGTATTTTTTGCTTGTATTATTTTGTCTGTAACGCTTAAAATAAAACGTCGGAACAATAGCAAAGGTGATATAATCAAATAGGATAAAAAAAAGCAAACCTGGTGAATACAAATGTGCCAAACTTATTATTCTGGTTAATTCAAATCATACAAGACTTTTCTGACTAACAAGTGATCCAAACTCATTCTGGTTAATTCAAACCATACAAGGCCTTTTTGACTCACAAAGTGATCCAAACTCGTTACACTGATTAATTCAAAGCATAGAAGGACTTTCTGGCTAACAGGTGATCCAAACTCGTTACACTGGATAACTCCAATTTTACAAGGCCTTATCTCACAAGTGATACAAACTCGTTACACTGGTTAGCTGAAATTTTACAAAGCCTTATCTCACAAGTGATACAAACTCATCACACTGGTTAATTCAAACCATACAAAGCCTTTCTGTCTCACAAGTGATCCAAACTCATTATGCTTGCTAATTCAAACTATGCAAGTTTTTTTTGATTTACGAAAAGGACGTGAGAATTTTAATTTTGAGAGTCCTAAAAGGCAAAATTTACCTGGAGAAGAGATTGTTTGTTATGAATTTCGCGCAAAGCTACACGCTAACCGTCCCTAATTTAGCAGTGTAAGACTAGAGGGAAGGCAGCTAGTCATCACCACCCACCGCCAACTCTTGGGCTAATCTTTTACCAACGAATAGTGGGATTGACCGTCACATTATAACGCCCCCACGGCTGAAAGGGCGAGCATGTTTGGTGTGACGGAGATTCGAACCCGCGACCCGTAGATTACGAGTCGAGCGCCCTAACCACCTGGCCATGCTGGGCCTACCTGGAGAAGAGAGAAATATGCATGTACAGTTTGAAGTTTTTGCAGGAGTATAAGCCTGTAATCCATGTGTTTCGATTGTCGCTTACATAAGAAGCTGTACATTATAATGAGGGGTTTTAAAATAAAGAAACTGCTAACGTGAGAAGATAATTTTCTTATGGAATTTGATATTGTCTAGAATTTATTATTTGTGGCTTGTTACTTTTTACATTTAATAGTCGTAAAAGTTTCGTACGGGTAAAAAATAATTCAGAAGTCAGACTCAGTTATCTGGGTTTTCCATATTTTATCAAGGGCCTGATTAAAAGATCACTCTTGGAACGCCACCATAAACCAAAAGGTGAAGAGTTTATGGATCGATGCAATGAAGCAGATCGAACGATCCACACAACTCACGTTACAAGCATGCTCATTCATGGCTGGTTCGTCTTTAAAGCTATTACGTTACATTTGGTCAGTCGAAGTCTGACGTAAGTTTGACGCACGTCTACAAAAAATGTTGGTCGCTTAATTTGTGCGCTCGTTTCTTTTCAAATTAAATATATTCTAAATATTCAACTGACATGTAGTGGTGCTATTGGCCACCGTGTTGTTGTTGTTGTTTACAGTAGAAAGAAAGCGTTTGTATTACTTGCATCTCAGATGGTAATGTTTTCAACCATGAGAACACGACTTCCGCCAATGGAATTCTGGTCTCTTACGAACTGAAAACATAGAACTTCTGATAATGTGCAATCAGAAAACTAACACTTCTGATAAAGTCGATCTTATTAGTCTGGTATTACAAGCAGAAAGACAACGACATTAACTGTTATAATGTTACTTCTGATAATCTACGAAACTCAAACTAACGAGCACTGTTCGTAAATAATAATTATCATAACGAAAACAAAGTCATTGAGATCAGCACAAATGACAAGTTCTCGAAATGTAAGCTTACTAACACACACGTCTCTGCAATAAACATATTTCAATGTTCAACTATTAATTTCTAAATTCATAACCCCATCAACTGTTCAGGTTCCAATCCATATTTCACTAATAACAATAAACTGGTATAACGAACAATTAGCATTACCTCAAAATCAACATTGTTCTGTAACTTAAAATGACATGCTAGTTTTTTGATAGAATTTACAATTATACCGTAACAGTATCGATATTTGAGAACTATGATCAGGATGAAACTTACTAAGCACAGTGAAGCTGGCCCCCTAGTGGCACAGCGGTATGTCTGCGGACTTACAACGCTAGAATCCGGGTTTCGATACCCGTGGTGGGCAGAGCACAGATAGCCCATTGTGTAGCTTTGTGCTTAATTACAAACAAACAGTGAAGCTGGTGCGTATTTGATACAAAAAAGTTTATAAAACGTAAAACAACGACAAGAGTTAAAAAATATTTGTTTATCGCGATTACAATTGTACAGCTCCATTCGGTCACCAAGGTTATAGGAATGACCGAGTTACACACAAATATATATATATATATCATATGTTAAAAATGCTCATATTATTGAAATCAGTAAAATATTATCTATGAAAGGAAAGTTTCATTATAGATCACACAGTTAAAACAATTCTGTCAGCGTATATGTAATTTAAAGTAACTTGCACACCTATGCACATTTCAACGGAGATTAAAAACTATAGTCCTTCGTAAAGAATTGCAGAACGTAAACATACATTTTTTCTGTTTTTATCAGGGTAAAAATGAGTCTGACTTTATCTCAAAAAGATTTTCATTAAGTTAGAAAATACACCCATTTGGATACGAATGTATTCCACTTACCGACATCTGCTACTAAGCTTCCAGGTTCTAAATCTAGAAGAAAATGCTTCACATGTGGCCATGCTCGATATCGAGAGTTCCTAAAATGTGGTGCAATTTGATCATATACATCATGAACGTATGCTTTTTCTAGTGCTACTGATCGGGCTTGTTTTTCTTCTCGCGCCGAATCGGTTTCTTTATCGGGCATACTAGGAGCCATTGGACTGGTCAACAGTAGAGGGCGCTTTCTCTATCATTTACATAATCTGAAAGAAAAGAAATCTCAGTAACTTTTAAGTGTTAAGGCTTAAATGTTTTAAATGGTAATTGAGAAAATCGGATATCGATGCTTTGAAATAGTGTTAATGTATAAAGTCTAAAAAGAATATATTATTTAGTATATATAGTAATGATAATTTACTAGCATATAAAGTAGTGATAAGCAGATATATGTCGATGTTCTAACGCTTTTCATTACAACTTTGAAATTATCTGCTAAGTTACAAACACTCGAAAGGGATCTGCACAGAACTTGTTTCTTACAGTAACTAGACATGTTTTTACTCCATAAGTTCTACCAAGTGTTTACCAGATGAACTTTCTTACACTAGAACTCACTCATATTAAATTGATAGTAGCACGAACGTTAACTAGAAGAGGAAAGCTAAAACATAAAACTAGAAGAGGAAAGCTAAAACATAAAACTAGAAGAGGAAAGCTA